AAGCTAATACAAACTTTTTGAAAAGACAACGAAAATGTTCAGTCAACATGTTCTGAAACTCAACAGGGAAATGCATATTCCTAACACATGCAGCTCCATTCTGCTACTCTGCTTTTAGAGCAATTGCATCTGCATAATTGGATGTCTGCAAAAAAATCAACAGACAAAAAAAAATCATGAAAGTGTGAGGGAACATTATCAGGAAGCAACAAAATATATAATACTACAAGCCTTGAAGGATTTTTGCAGCGAAGTTTTGCAAGAATCTGCATTATCACACTGGAGGGGCCTTGCACCACCAATACTGAATACTGAATCTGCAGCATTATTCACGAAATATGGCACCTCTGGAAATGTTTTTGCACGTTTTTACATATATATATTTTTTGCACGTTTTTACATATACAGGGTCTCCGGAAATAAAAGCAAGAAGCTTATGACTTTGGATGTGAGAACATTGCTTTTTTTTTTGTTTTTGAGTGGATGATGTGAGAACATTGCTGAAACTTTAATTCTCAGACCAAGTTCTTGCGCTCCACAGCCCCCGCCGGAGAGGCTACCAAAGAAGCAGGCAACCAGGCTATCTAGTGTTGGGCTGGAAAGGCCAGAGGACGTGGCCCATCGCTCCGCACTTCCTTTGGAGGATACTGGGGCTCTACGGCCCATCTACCAAATCAACCTGCTGGACGAACGCTGGCGCAACAGATATTTTGACAGAGATAGATCTGCTTCTAATTTTCTGAATATAAGCTAGTGCTCTATGAATTTCTCAAAAAAAAAAAACTAGTGCTCTATGAGAAGTAATTTTATCGGAAGTGCTGGCGCCCGGACGTCCGATCGGATATTAATCCGTTGGATGGTACCGTGGACCGGCCGATTCATTTCCCAACGCACCGCACTCCTTGCCCCCACCCCCCCCGCCCGTGCCTACTTTTTTTTCACGTGCCTCCCATGGGCCCACGCTCATAGGGATCGCTGGTGTCGTTCCCGCTTCCCACGCGCATCACATATGCAACACCCGATCTATTTTTAAAACATTCAGATGCAACACTTGCAATATACGTCTAAAGACAGATGAAACATGTGTTTGAAAAACTTGCAAAAAAATACTTGAAAACCATTGCTAACATACGCAACATGCAGATAAAACACTTGCAACATATGTGTGAAACATATGCAACATCGAGATAAACCACTTGCAACATAGGTCTGAAAAACAGATGAAACATTAGGGACATACACTTGCAACATATCCAACATCCCGGTCTACTTTTGTAACATCATGATCTACTTTTGCAACATCCGTATGAAACACTTGCAACATACCTCTAAAACAACTGAAACATTTGAATTGTACACTTGCAACATGCATCGTATCCCGGTGTGGCCTCCTCTGCCGCTGTTGAGACTTGCGGTCTCAGACAATGTGGAGGAGGCGGGCCTCCGCCCGCCAAGCGCTGCCCTCAGGCTGAGGCTCGGGAGACAGACACGACAGGCGGGCGTGTAGGGAAATGGCACGTAAAATTAGAGTTTCATTCATTCATTCACCAACCTCCCGCACTGTTACAAATGTTCCCTATTTATAGGGCTCAACTACCACTTTTACAGAGTTTACAATAATACCCTTCAACTGCTACAACTGCTACAGTACATTCTCGGAATATCCCACTACTCGCCTTTCTTTTCGGGGGTAATCTCGTCTTGCCGCCCTCAGGTACTGGGCCTGCGCGATCAGCCGGCCCATCAGGCCTCCGCCATCGGTCTCCGCCCCTGGGACACCGAGGCCACAGACCCCCGACGCCCAGTATTGTCGTCCTCCTGCTTGGTCTCTGCCCCTGCAAGCGGAGGCCGAACCGGCGCGCCTGCGCCGTCCACGAGCGCCTTCCTCTGGTTACCTGCACACACACGTAGATAACGTTGGCACTTGATTAGCCTTGCAGCGGGGCGGCCTCCGCCCCCTCCGACTGGAGACGCCTACGAGCTAACCGGGCGGAGGCCGCGCTAGGGTCACCGGCGGCGTCCTGCAAGCTATCTGAGAAACCGTCATCTTTCTGGGTCTGGAGGCGTGGTAGCCGGACCTTTGCTTAGGTAGTCGGTCAGAGACGTCTCTGCGAACTACTGGCCGCGTAGGTCTCCGCCACTCTCGGAGGCCGTGTTACAACAGCCGCCTGCATCAGGGCACCGGCGTGCCGCAGCCATAGCAGGAGGCAAGGCCGGAGGGCTTCCACGCCAAGGCCCGACGCTTCTCCTTGCGCTGGCAGCGCCTATCGGCATCGTCGGGAGGGGCGGGTAGCGGAGCAGGAGCATCGGCAGGAGCAGTAGGGCGGGCGCGCGGAGCAGGAGCAGCGGTAGGAGCGGCGGGGCGGGCGCGCGGAAGAGGAGTAGGAGCAGCGGGGTGGCACGACAAAGCAGGAGCCAGGGCACCCGTGGTGTGGGGGTGGAAATGCATGCCGCGGCAGATGCGGCCAATGTGAATGGGGAAATGGTTCCGATAATAGAGAGTGAAGAAGACAACCGAACATTTTTTTTCAAATAGTCGTTTGGTGGAGGCATCTGGGTTAGGTGCGCCGTTCGTACCGTCGCAACCGACGACAATGGGGGCATCTAGATGGTCGAATGCTCTGACCCCAGCATTTCTGTAATTTTATTTATTTTTAGAAAAGTAATAGTGAAAAAGAGCACTCCTATCCTGTGAATAACCCCCTATAGCCGATATAGTTTTTTTTATGAATACAGGAGGAGTTAACCCCCACTGGCTTTTATTAATTTGAGAACAAATCTTTACAACAGAGTTCACGATACAAAGAAGGTTAAAAAGAAAATGAGCAAAATTACACATAGCCGATATAGTAAAAAAGGAAAAAAAGAGGAGCCACTACTGGAAACCGACACTTTGCCGAGTGTCGGAGGCTTTGCCGAGTGCCAAATTTCGGAGGCACTCGGCAAAGACGATCTTTGCCGAGTGCTAAATAAAATACACTCGGCAAAAAAAAAACACCCGACAAAATACGTCTTTGCCGAGTGCCAAATTTCTGGCACTCGGCAAAGATGTATTTTGCCGAGTGCTATTTTTCGGCACACAGCAAAATGCGTCTTTGCTGAGTGCCTTTTTCTGACACTCGGCAAAGATGTATTTTACCAAGTGCTATTTTTCGGCACATGGCAAAATGCGTCTTTGCCGAGTGCCTTTTTTCTGGCACTCGGCAAAGATGTATTTTGCCAAGTGCCTTTGTTTTGGCACTCGGCAAAGATATATTTTGCCGAGTGCCTTTGTTTTGGCACTCAGCAAAGAGGCATTTTGCCGTGTGTATCTTTTTTGGGCCCTCGGCAAATCAGTTTTTCAAAGCAACTTTTGAAGGCCCTAAATGAATTCAAATGAAAAACTTTTCAACTATAAAGTTGTATAACTTTTCAAAATCTACAAAGCTTATTTTGGTCATTTCTTCATTTGACAAAGCGACAATAACGTTGCTCATAAAATCTACATCTCTCGTATCTCTCATATTAGTTTCATGAAAGTAGAAGAGAGATATATAAGATTTGTGAACAATGTTACTACCACTATGTCGGATGAACAAATGACCAAAATAAACTTTGTAGATCTTGAGAAGTTATGAAATTTTGTAGTTGGCAACATTTTGATTTAAAATCATTTTGTCATGCAAAAACGATGTTTGAATTTGAAAATTTTAAAATTTGAATTTTTCAAAAGACCTCGGATGGAAAAACTTCCTAAATGAAAATTGTAGATCTCCAAAAGTTATGAAACTACGTAGTTGACAACTTTTTGATTTGAAATCATCTTATCATGCAAAACTACGTTTGAATCTCTCAAATTTAAAATTCGAATTTTTCAAACGACCTCGGATGGAAAAACTTCCTAAATGAAAATTATAGATCTCGAAAAGTTATGTAACTTTGTAGTTGACCACTTTTTGATTTGAATTCGTTTAGGGCCTCAAACAAGCAATTTACTCTAGATTTAGTATAATATATCAGGATAGATAACGGAATCAGACATAAGTGACAGTGTAGTGCAGTGGTAGAGCAGCAGACACGCGAGGGAGAGGTCGTGGGTTTGAATCCGGCCGGCCGCATTAGCCGCAAATTTAGCGCAAAAAATGCAGCGACTTCGCTGGAGACGGGGCGGGCGTTGGCCGGTGGCAGCCTCCCTCGAAATTTTTTTTTTTGAAAAATTTTGCTATTGTTTTTGGGTTTTTTTCGCATTTTTATTTAGCCGAGTGCCGTCGTGGCACTCGGGAAATACTTTGCCGAGTGCCCGACATGCGGCACTCGACAAAGAAGCCTTTGCCGTGAAGGGATATGCCGACAGCTTTTTACCGAGTGCAGCACTCGGCGAAGGCTTTGCACTCGGCGCGAGTGCAAAGTCTTCTTTGCCGAGTACAATTCTACAAAGCACGCGTCTCCCGTAGTGAGGTAGCTTGTGGTGATACTCTAAAAGTCTATAGAGGTCCAAACATGGGTACACCGCGTTACACGCGGAATGCCAATGTCACGGTACTCTCACAACAGTCGAAGTCGAATAAAAATCCACGTCAGGAATCATATCTTGGACATGCCGGCCGTCCAACTTCTATTCGATGTTCATCCTCTCTCTCTTCTTTTCCTCACTAAATTCGACATCAGGGCATCTACGTTGTCCCATCCACATCCATCTCTGGCTTTTGTAACTCTTAAGCTAATCTTTTCATAAAAAAACTCTTAAGCTAATCTAGAGAGCTAGCTGTCGCCACAAGCTAGGCATATATCCTTCCACGAATTTAATTAAAAGAAAAAGGAACACTGCATTCCATCCATATATCCGAAACAATGCGTCTGCTTGCGTGGCGGCGCGTGTGTGTATATATACTTGTGTTCTTCACCCTTCTTCTCTCATATACTCGACCCAAGATATGGTTTTGCAGTTCGAAACCTAGTTCCTGGGGGCAGTGACGTCGTCTCCGTCCATCTCCAAATTAAAGCAAGCTAAGCCAGCGGCCATGGTACGGTAATCACTACAACACCAAGAACATCGATTTACTTTTGTTGTCTACCAAGAACATCGTCTCCTTTTGTTTCGTTGTTCGATTCAGCTACAATCTTTTAGCTGCTAGAGCCTTTTGTTTTGGGAGGTGCGGTCTGGCGATCACTATATACTGGAGATCGATGCATATATATAGATATATGTGTGTATATATGCATTTTAATTGTTGTAGGATCTAGCAGAGAAGTCCCAGAAAGCAAACTTCTTGTTCATCGAGGAGGAGGAGGACGAGGAAGAGCAGCAGCAGCAGCAACAACGACAACAGCAACAGCAGCGCGAGGAGGGAGAGCAGCTACCCAAAGGCAAGGACAACCCAAAGGCCCAAACGACGCATCCGAAACGTCCAGCCACTCGTTCCATTTCCGGCAGCAGCAGTGGGGAAGAAAGGACCAGGTGGTGTACCGTATTGTAGTGCAGCCGCCAGCCACCTGTATCTGATCTGTATGGCACTATAATCGCCAAGTAGTATTACTGTGCTGTGTACTTTGCTTGGTCCACGTTGATCCATGCATGCCTCTGGTCAGGATTTGGCTGAGATGCATGTTGGATCGGTTGAACCGGGGGCCTGGTCTATGACCCTGGTGCTCTTCTGGGAATTCAGAGTCAAGCCAACAACAACTGTATATATAGTTACTATATTTGACTGTATTTATGTACATTATACACATATATAATGTATATCGGTAATGCTCCTGTTCGGTCGTCCGTCCGGACGGACGGACCCCGCTTGAGTCACCAGCTCTGGAATGGACTCTGCCCGCACCGCCTCCGTCCGCATATGGCTCATGGCCTCTCGTCCACAAGTTACTAACCGCAGTCCGCTGTCTCCATTCTTCAGAAAAAATCACCGTTGCGACCGCCAATGCGTCCTCCTCTCCTCTCCCCCCATGGATCCAGCGCCACTCCTCCTCCACGTGCGTCTTCCCTCAAGTCCGGTGGCCTCCATGGCGTCCCCTCCCTCACTTCATGGCGGCAGCGACCCTCCCCCGCATCCCACCGGATTTGACCGTTGGGCTCGAGCCCCTCCCCTACCTCGGTGGCGGTGCCCTCCCCAGATCCGGCAGCGTCTCCTCTCCCTCGGCCGACGGCGGGCATGGCGCGGGCGTGCGGGCGCGCACCATCCAGCGCCGTGCCGATCCACCTCGCTCGTTACGGAAGGGGAAGCAGGGGAGGCCTGCGCCTGGGCTCCCATCCACATCGCGCCGTTGGCAAGAAGGGGAGGCATGCGCCACCGCAGTTCCCCACTAGGTTGGTCATGGCCGTGCAGCGATGCTGTGTTTCAAATGTTTCTAGACATTTTTCAGACATGTTGCAAGAGTATGTTTCAAGTGTTTCAGATGTCTCATCTGGATGTTGCAAGTGTTTCATGTGGATCTTGCAAAAGTAGATTGGGATGTAGCATATGTTGCAATAGTTGTACACGTATGTTGCAAGTGTTTATCCCCAATGCTTCATCTGTTTTTTGTTCACATATCTTTCAAGTGTTTCAGACGCATGTCTCAAGTGTTTTATCTGTCTTCTTTTGTATGTTGCAAGTGTTGCATTTGGATATTTCAAAAGTAGATCGGGATATTGCACATGTTGCAATGGTGTTTCAATCAGATATACTAAATGTTTCATCTACTTTAGACGTAAATTGCAAAGGTTTCATCTAGATGTTGCGAAGTAGATTTGGTGTTTGAATGTTGTAGTGAGACCCACACACCACCACCACACTGCTGTATTGCTTTGGCCCAGCGTGCATGCATGTGGGAGTGGAGAGGCACAAGCGGCAGGCGTGGGAAACGAGAACGGGCGTAGATTGAGGCATGCGCTGGAAACAGAGCGGCATGGGCCCCCACATGAAACACACAGGCGTGTGGGTAGGCGCATGGGGTAGGCCCAGCTAGCGTGAGTGTCTGGACGCTAGTGTATAGATCAGACGTCCGAGCGCTAGCAATTACGAACATATATAATCCTTGTCGGGCGGTTGCATCGCGTGTAAGGGGTCATATCGTGACTCAGACATGCTGCTGCTCGCTACCGCTTCCTTGCTCACGGGGTCGATCGAAGTCCACCTATTTTGGATCTTTCTCGCAGGGAACATATTTTTTTGCTAGGGGATAAAAGGCATAGAGTCATTGGCGAAGAGGGCAACAAAGCACGCTCGTGACCAAACAAAGCATAGGCAAAGGATCCGGACGAAGGTTGTGAAGAGGTAGCACCCTGGCGAGGGTCCCAAGCACCCGGGAGCAGGCAAATGCCATTTGCATTCCTATGCGAATTGGACCGTAAGGCCCCTGCCAAAAGGAATTAATATTCTTGGTATATCTATGAAAGAGGTGGGGTATTTATGGTCCTCATGTTGTAAAAAGACCCTATAAATAGTGCCTCGAGGCAAACAAAAGTGAGGAGGACTTCAATATTTCTAAAATGAATCCTTCGCTATGTTCCTATCTTGTATTTTGTTGTTTTGAGTTTGACGACCCACTGTCTAAGACTTCGGTCCACGACAACATTTGGTGCCCACCCGTGGTTGTCGCTCAAACTATCCAATGGCTCCTAGGAATAGCAGCAAGACACCACCGGGCAATCATATCCAACTCCGCGTAGGAGATGGATTGAGGTTATGGTGGCCTAACCCTAGCAATCTTCTTTGCCAAATGAGCTCCCCTTCGCATCTCTTCCCATTGGGCAGGGTATTCCTCTTCACCCACCCAGATAGGCATGGGCTTCCAAACACATCTATCATTCTTCTGGCCTGGGCTCCATGAATGTCTAAATAGGTCCTCCATTCTATGCCCAAACGGCCCACCTATGTTCTCTTCTTTTTGCGAACATGTTCTCTTTTATTTGTCATGTCTACACGAGTCAGATTTGGCCCACACACAATGTGGCCTTGGTTCTAGTTGTGCTAACGTGGTATCCTTGAATCCTCAATGAGCTTGATCTTAATCTCCTTCTCCATCCTTGCCCGTTCCAATTCTAGGCGCCACCCACCTTGTGGTGGCTCACTGCACAGATAATTTTTTAATTTTATGAAGCTCTTTCTGTTAGGATGATCTCCACCAGTTGGCCCAATGGACAATTGGGCCCTTGATCCGCGCCCTGATTGGGGGCGCTCAGCCGATTCTCCTGGCTGATGGGCCCCCGTCGTGCAGTGCCACAAAAGGACAGTGGTTGTTGGGGCACAAGACACGTGGTTCGCTAGAGCCGCCAGTCCCACCCTGAAGTTCCTAACCCTAGTTCGATCTAAAGGGGCACTATAAGCGATGGGAAGTGCCATCGCCTTTCGACCGCCGTCACTGCACTGCGCCTCCACTGCTACAACACCGACGACCACGTCAATGCGGCACCATGGCCGCAACTGCCCTTGGGCGAGGTACATCATCAAGTCAACCTTACATCTAAGTCAAGTTTTACCCGCTAGATTTGCACCAAGAGGTCCTTTAAATCCCATCAATGGTACCAGAGCCAGGTTCTAGTGTGTAGATCGGGGTAGAAAAGAGAAAATAAGTTAGAAGAAGCTGCAAGATTTCCAAGTTTTTCCCAAAACCTAACCCTAGATTGCAAGAACGATAAACGACGGAGACGGGAGGATCCTACCAGGTAACACTCGCCGCCGTCACCACCGCCGTCGTGCGGGAAGAAGTCCCCCACCGCTGACCACCATTGGGGAGAAGTGGAGCGTCACCGGCCCGCCTTGAAGAAAGGAGAGAGGAACGGGAGTTGAGAATGAGGTTAGGGTTTTTGTTGGGCGAGAGCGGACCGCCGTCCGATCGAGATCAACGACCGAGATTGATCGGGTGACTTTTTGGCCCGTATAATAAGCGAATTCTCGCCCAGCCCAAGTTGCGGCTTGGGTGCGGGGAGCGGGCGACGTGTTGTGTGAAGCAGTCATTGGGTCGTGAAGTCTTGCGCTTGTGCATTTGGCGAGTTGGGCCGCGGGCCGAATTTTCTCGATTGGGCCAATATGAACACAGTAAATAGTTTTTAGTTTTATTATTTTCAGAAGCAGTTTTGATGAATTTTGTCAAGTTTTGAATCTCTGTCAAAATTTGAACCATCAGGATAATTTTTTCAGAGAGTATATGAGTAAAGTAAAATGCTTCTGAAAAGTAGATAAAGAATTTTTTTATGTTTTCGCTGCAAAATTTAATGTTGATTATCTTCTAATTAAATTCGAACCAACGGGAGAATTTAATTTGAAGAGCAGTTATATTTAGTAAATTATGATTATGTTTATCCTTTAATTAAATTGGAACCAACGAAAAAATTTAAATTAGAGGAGTAGTCCATTTTATTTAAGTCAGATTATGTTATTGTCATTTTCTAACCAACGTTGATGATGACAATATTATAATGAGTTCAAGTTTAAGGTTTAAATCTTTGATAAATTTTACACCAACGTGGTCAATTTTTCAGAGAGTAGATAAGGACCAAGAAATGCTCCTGAACTAATAGAATGTATTTTATGAACTTGTTTCCGCTGCGATGAAGTGTTCATTATCTTCTAATTAAATTCAAACCAACGGAAGAATTTAATTTTGAAGAGTAGTTATATGTATTTCAAGTTGATTTATGAGTTTTATGCATTAATTCTATTTTCTACCCAACCGTGAGGTAGAATTGATGCAGAAGCACCTTGTTTATTTAACCGATGAGATCACTCGGCTTTATGCCAATGGGCTGCAATGCTGGGGTATGTGAATGAAAAGGCTTGAGTCAAGCCAGTTCAGGATAGCTTTTTGTTAGCTTACTATTTTTTTGATTAAATTAGAACCAACAGGAAGATTTAATTAAAAAATAAAGTATAAGTGAATGTTTTAATCATCATGACTAAGTTTTCATATAGATATATACCGCATGGGGAGAAGTTTGACATAGTACTTATGCTAGTCAATCCTGCATGGCGGGAGAAGTTTTGTGATGACTCATATGTTTTTTATCCCGCATAGCGAGAGAAGTTTAGGTAGCTCTTATGTTATCCTAGTATTAACCGTGGCACAATAGAAATGCACCGTCATGGTCAATACTAATCAAAAGACAAGAAAAAGATACAAGCGTAACTTGCAAAAATACAGTTAATAAAAGACCTCGTTGAGTTCATGAAGTGGAATAAGGAAAGTGTACTCCTAAACGGATCAAGAAATAACTTTGTTTATATGACATAATCATGTGAATGAAGTAAGTTATAAGTGTCTCCTCATTCACAGATTTTCTAAATAGTTCTCAAAATTATGGTAGTAAAGTTCATGCCATATTTCGAGTGGGAGATTATTAAGATCAATTAAGAAAAATACTCTTCATTAAGAGTGAGATAAAGATCAATTAAGAAAGGTGCTCTTCATTAAGAATGAGATAAAGATTAATTAAGATAAATGCGACCGTTGGAGGAGTACAACGGTCACAACAATGATATCCCTAAGCAGA